CTTAATTTTCTGAAACCACTTACTGAGCTGATAAACCTCATTGGAGATGGCAAAACACCCGAACCACTAAGACCTTTCTTTTTTGGCGCAAAGCTTATCGCCCTCATGAAGATAGACGGAGGGTTGAGACCGATTGCCATAGGCAACACGCTGAGACGTATCGCGTCTAAATGCGCTGGGAGCAAGGCCCTCTCCGAGCGACAAAAATTTTTCGGAAAGGTACAGGTAAGATGCGGTACCAAACGAGGAGCAGAAATAGCTGCGCACTCGTTTCGAAACCTAATTGAACGCGACGACAATCCAAAATGCACTGTTCTTTTAAAACTAGATTTTAAGAATGCCTTTAACTCTTTAAACAGAGAAACAACGCTGAATCATGTTTATTCAAATCGCGCCGAATTGTATACTTACACCCATTGCGCGTATGGTAAACCTAGTTACCTTTTTTACGGAAGCTTTGTCATAATGTCAGAAGACGGAGCTCAGCAAGGTGATCCTGAAGCCCCACCCCTTTTTGCGGAAACAATTCATACACTAGTCAAACAGTTGGAGCAAAAATGAACGTCTGGTATTTAGATGATGGGAATTTAGCCGACGACTATAAGGTAGTACTCCGGGACCTTAAAAACATTCTGAAATCGGAACAAATTTATGGCCTGAGCTTAAGCACTGAGAAGTGTGAACTTTGTTTTTTGGGACCGACTACTAGTACACAGTATAATTCAATTTTAACACAATTTCGAAAAATATGCCCAAAAATAAAAAATAAAAACAAAAGAAGAACTCCTCATTTTAGGATCTCCAATCGGTGAACTTTGCCGAAAAGAATTGCTCGACGAAAAAATTAAGGAGCTTGAAAAAATCTCGGATGTCATTGACAAACTAGACGCCCATTATGATTTTTATCTCCTGAAAAATTGCTTTAGCATAGCAAAATTCCTATGTTTTTTTGCGTACGATCCCTTGTTTTTTTGGAAAATGATTTTTTGGAACCCTACGATAAATTACTAAGAAATTTGTTATGCAAGGTCACTAACGTGAAAATGGATGATTACCAGTTCTTACAAGCAGTTCTCCCGGCAGCCAAAGGTGGCTTGGGCGTTTCTTCCGCTCGTCTACTCGCTTTACCCACTTTCTTAGCCTCAGCAGTAGGAGCAAAAGATGCCTTGAGCGAAATCTTTGGTTTGGAGCATGTGGATGGAACCTATGATGATGCGCTTAAATTACTACTACTACTAATACTACTACTACTACTACTACTACTACTACTATTACTACTACTAAAAGAATTTATTCCCTTTATAAAGGCATCAAACAAAAGAAACGGTATGATTATGTACACAAGACATCACGAACGGCAATTTATGCAATGGCAACAAAGTAGCATTGAACAAGAGTTGTTTAAGTTGATTATATCAATTCTATTTTTCAGATAGATTTTCAATTTTGCTTTGAAAATTTCAGGCGATGAGAAAATGTCGGCTATGTTGTTTGCTGAAATCATGTTGGCATACCGACAGACGCGATAGAAGAAAAATTGCTCTGTAAAGAAGAGTCGACAATTCTGGGTTGTTGAAAGCTTAGGGCGTGAGCTATTGCGAAGGTCTTTGGCTGCAAAGTTAAAATTTATGTATCTGTAAAGGTCGAAATCAAATTGATCAGTCAGGACTCGATTAAGAAAACACATATCATGTAAAGCTATAGTGAAGGAAATTGGCAAGGAATTCGTTTTTCTAAGTTGTTCTGTATAGTCGTTCACTCCCGTTACCCATTTCAAACATTTTCTGTTAAATAATTCTAGTTTGCGGCGATATGTTAAAGATGGAAAACAGACCTGACTACCGTATAACAAAATACTCATAGTACATAGCTGGTAATAATTGAATTTGGTTCTCATGGATACTTCATAAGGGAATGAACGTTTTAAGAAATGGAAAGCTTTGTTAACTGCGACCAGTTTGGTTTTAATGTGGATATCCCACTTTAAATCACTAGATATCGTTACTCCGAGATCTTTGATAGATGAAACTGACTGTAATCATTACGGTAAAGAGTAGATTTGGGGGAAGTTGAGTTAAAACAAATAACTTTGCATTTATCAGAATTAAATGTCATTTCGTTTTCAAGCGTCCAATTGATAAGTAGATCAATGTCTGTTTGAACTAAGGAAAAGTCATTTTTTGAATAGAGTTTGCTGTCATCAGCAAACAGAAAGCAATTAGAGGTTTTCAAGACAGCTGGCATGTCATTAATGAAGAGTATAAATAGCAAAGGGCCGAGTCACTTCCTTGCGGAACACCACTTGTTACATGGCCTTTTGGAGATGCTTCATTGTTAATTAAGACAATTTGCGTGCGGTTTGTGAGATAGGAAGCAAAAATTTCAAGAAAGCTAGTGTCAAAGCCTAAATTACCAAGTTTCGAAATAAGTATATGATGAGGAACTTGATCAAAAGCCTTGCGAAAATCGAAGTACACACAAAGACAGTCGTTTTTTGCCTCGATGTCGTTATAAATCTGATCTAAGTATTCAAGAAGCTGAGTAACAGTCGATCGCTTGGTAATAAAACCATGTTGAGCAGATGTAACTTTAGCCCGAATTTTAGGATAAATGAAATCGAAGATCATTCTCTCCAGAATAATCAATAATTGAAGCAATATGCTAATCGGGCGATAATTTTCAACATTTTCGGGATTACTAGATATAAGAATTGGCGTAATAAACGCACATTTCCAAAGTTCTGGCCACGTTTTAGTTTCCAAAACCTTGACAAAGAGCTGCACGACTAGAGGAGATATTTATTAATTCACTGCTTAGTTAAGAATAAAGGTTGGGAGGCGGTCGTTGGTAATACAAGAAGTTTTAACAAATTCGAGAGCTTTCTCGACCTTTTTAAGGTTGACATGGAGATCGGATAGAAAAATGGTGGGTTTTTCGGGTTGTAGGATTTGAATTTCGTGCTTTTCTAGAAACACTGAACAGAAGTAATCGTTCAAAAGAATGGCTCATTCAATAGAAGTGGATGCTTTTCTATTCATCCAGTGCATTTGGTTTGGTAGTTTCCTTTTGGTAAAAGATCGAAGGTATTTAAAGCAATCACGGGTAGAATTTGGTCTTAAAGATTCAAGGAGACAAGTTTTATCCAACTCGATTAAATTGTTAAGGTCTTGTTGGATCGAAGCTAAATGATTTGTGTTGGCTGTCCGTTTAGATATGGAGTGGTGCTTATTCAGTAAATGAACTGTATGCGACGAATAATAATAGGGAAGTTGCTGGCGTCTTTTAGTTTTATGTGCGCATGATAAAAGAATTGCATGATTGATCTGAGCGTACCAGCTATCTACATAATCATTAGTGGTGGATATGGAATTACATGAGTTTTGTTCCACAATGAGTTTGGTAAAACAAGGGCTGATGTTACTATTGAAGATCGAATGAGAGAAAGATGATTTAGATAGAGAAGTTTTCATAAAATTCCCAATCACAGTAGGCGCTGCTTCAGGAATGGTAGAAAAAAAAACAAATAAAGGAAAATGGTCTGAGTAAAGCACTTCATTTACAAATGCAGTGAACAATTCTGTGTGCGAAGTTAAAATGATATCAAGAGTGTTGCCTGAGCAATGTGTGGGTTCATATATAAGGGGCATTAAGGTATGATCCTCAATAACCTCTAGGAACAGTTTTGAGTAATCACAGCCTCCATCAGAAGATGCCCAACAGATATCAGGCAGATTTAGGTCACCTAAGATTGTGTACGAACCAGAACCATTAATCAATTTGGAGTTAAAATAACGTATTGAATCAGTAAGCATTTTGGCAGGTATCCGAAACTGCGACAAAGCGGGGGGGGGGGGGGGGTTGTAAATAAGGAGGAAAATATGATTAACTGCACCCGAATATATTGAAAGTCCGATGCAGTAATCTGCATCGTATGATAGAATTGAATAATTTAAAGCAAAACTATTTTTTGTGGCAATGAGAACACCTCCGTGTTCTCCAGAAGTGCGGTCTTTTCGAGCAATAACCGAATAGTGAGTATTCATAAGAAAAATTTTGGGATCAGTAATTTCTGGCTTAAGCCATGTTTCAGTAATGAACACGATATCAGGAGAATGTAAAGAAAGAAAATTGATTAACTTCAGACGCTGATTTAGGCTCAAGAGACTTTGTGCGTTGATAAGGCATAATTTTGATTGTAGTCAGTCAAGATTGATCTTGATACCATTTCGTTCGAGGGTCAGACCACGAGTTTTTAGCTCATCGCGTGGAAATTTTTCATTGTTAATCATGTCGTACCGTTTCTTGAAGATTTTACGTTTCAGAATCTGTTCTTCTTGGTTTAGGGACTTCGATATGGAAATCTTTTCTTTGAAATTCTTCAGTTCGTAAGATTTTGCTAGGCATTTTTTAGCATTCCATTCGGATGACAGACGAACAAGTAAAGGACGCGTTCTTCGTTGTTGGGGATTAGCTTTACCAAGTCTATATATTTGGCAGATACTGAGATTTTCTTCGCCTATTTGATCAAAAATTTCGGCCACTTTGGCTTCTTCGGCCTCTATATTGGATGTAAACTGACCGTTGTCTTCGCAGGCTCCGTCGATGATTATCTCGCTTTCACATGTGCTGGCTCGGTGACTGTTATTAATACGACTATTAACCGGTACATTCGATGATGTTGTCTTGGTTGGATCAACATTTTCAACAGTTTCTTTAATGCTTTTTGTAATTTCGATTAAGCTTTCTTGTCTTTGAATAATCAGTTCAAACTTAGCTTGGGATGTGAAGGTGTTCCCCTCAAGGCAGCCAGAGCACAGCCAGAAGCATCCTCGAATTTTGCCCATTGTAGCTACATCATCAGGAGACAATCCAACACATTGCCCATGGAACCACGCGCTGCACTTTTCACATCCTATAGCAGTTGAGTCGTTGTCCTTCGATGGTTTGTTGCATGGTCCACATCTAGTAGCTTTTGCTTGAGACATATCAAACCGGAAACTATTTAATAAGTTTATCACAACAATTAGGCTAAGATATCCATCATTTACAAGATCTTTAAACTTGTCAATTTTTCGCTCTTCCCCTTCAGCGGCAGCCGTACCAGGGTTACAAACAGACCCGGCATTAATCCTACAAGGAGCTAAGGAGTCTACTACCGTTACATCCCACAAGAGCTGCTTACCATCAGCCCATTGAAGGTCGCTTCAGAAGCGACCTTATAAAGGTCGCTTCTGATCGGTCCTGTGGAGGTGTCGTGGTTCTAAAACAGAGGGAATGTGAGATTGATGATAGACTCTGCTTTATAAGGGCATTCAGGTTTGAATGCCTAGAGAATCTCCCTGCACTTTTGAGGCAAGAAAGACCATGCCAACCATCCTCGGTAACGTCTTTCAATTATTGGGAGCCAAATCTATCTTGGAACGCGTTGAACTTTTTTACTTTATACGGTGGTCAAACGGTGGTTTGACCTTGGAAAAATTGAAATGGCTCCGGAAAATGAAATCCAAAAAAATTGGACGGAGCCAATTTTTGACAGCAAAATTGCAGACTTGATTTTACGACTCGAAGCAACGGAATTAAAAAGGTTCAACGCGTTCCAAGATAGATTTGGCTCCCAATAATTGAAAGACGTTACCGAGGATGGTTGGCATGGTCTTTCTTGCCTCAAAAGTGCAGGGAGATTCTCTAGGCATTCAAACTTGAATGCCCTTATAAAGCAGAGTCTATCATCTATTCACATTCCCTCTGTTTTAGAACCACGACACCTCTACAGGACCGATCAGAAGCGACCAGACGGTTTGACGCTCGTTCCATGGGCTGATGGTAAGCAGCTTTTGTGGGATGTAACGGTAGTAGACTCCTTAGCTCCTTGTAGGATTAATGCCGGATCTGTTTGTAACCCTGGTACGGCTGCCGCTAAAGGGGAAGAGCGAAAAATTGACAAGTATAAAGATCTTGTAAATGATGGATATCTTTTTCAACCGCTAGCTTTTGAAATTCAGGGCGCGGCCGGCCCCAGCACAGAAGTTTTTTTGAGCAAGCTTTGTAAGAACCTAAGCATATGCACTGAGGAACCCAGAGCAGGCAGCTTTTTAAAACAGAGAATCTCCCTGGCAATACAGATTGCGAACGCCGCTTGCGTACTCGGAACAATAAATGATAAAAATAACTTTCGACGAAATTTTTTACTTGTAACACTTGTATATTATATTATCTCGTGTCGAGTTGCGTGTTCTTATTGAAGAAACGTAACCCGTATCGATTTTAATTGAAAAGGACTTAAACACTTGTCATCTTCTTTTATCATTATCACTTCCATATCTAAAAAATTCCAAGGATTTTGACTGGAATACATGTTGAAGGGACTCATGACTGTAACCTCGGTTACTATGATACTTTTGACCTTCTGATTACCTTGAAAAAAATGATAATGATGATGATGACGATGCAGATGATGAGTTAAAACAATTAACATTGATCTACATTTCAGAAAACGTTAGATCGAATGCTGGTACAATTTTAGAACTACAATTTCACAATTTTGATTTTAGTACGGTAATTCTAAAACAAGCTCAACCAGAAGATATTCATGACATTGAGGGACCGGACCGTCCACAGTATTTTGGCCTACTTCTATATGGAGAAACGATAGAGCTTTAGAGGTTATTTAGAAACAATGGATAGATAACCAGTAACCCACAAAAAATTGTCGGGCTGAGTGGTTTCAAGACCATTGAGCATAATAGCTGGGATGGGAAAAAGGGTTGAAAAGCAGGAAAGTAGCAACACGTCGAAAAACAAACCACACCTTATAATGGTTAAAGCGGGAAACCGTTCTTAAATCTTCAGTTCAGTTGTTTTTCTGATCTCTTAGGCGTTTTGTCGCCTCTATCAATCAGCTCATGATGTACTCCTTTTCGATTAATTCGTCTAAAAGTTATTAATTTCGCTTTTGTTCCAATATTTGCTGGTACAATTTAAGAACTGATGTACTCCTTTTCGATTATTTCGTCTCAAATTTATTAATTCCGCTTTTGTTCCGATATTTGTCCACGTTGTTCTTGAAAGCGTTCAAGGTCTTCGAGTCAATTACTTATCCTGGCAACATATTCCAATCTGTAGCTGATCTAATGGTATAAAAGTTTTTCCGCAAATCGAAGTTGGCCTTCCTCGTTATCACTTTCATGTCATTTGTCCTTGTGTCACGATTACTCAATTCGAACATGCCTTTTGTAGCTTTTGGGTCATAACGGTTGTAACCTATATTGAACATTTCGATCATTGTTTCTCGCCTTCTGCGGTATTCAAGTGAGGATCGGTCTTGTTTCTTTCACCTTTCATTGTAACTGAGTGTCTGCACTTGTACCATTTGTGACTTGATTACAGAACTACAAATGAGGCTTTACGAGGCCTTTATAAACATTTAAAAACATAGGTATAGTCATTTTATTGAAAGTTTTTTAAAAACTGCAATGATAGAAATTGCCTTTTTAACTTTTGCAAAGATATGAGAGTCAAAGGAGAGTTTACTATCGATGATCACTCCAAGGTCTTTTTCTTCTCCTACTGTTTCAAGCTGTTTATCGTAAAACTCATATGAGCTTATTTCACGATTTGAGCTTCCATTTGAGATTATCTTATGTACACATTTATCTTCATTAAAATGAAAATACTATTTTCTGACCAATCTTCCGGTTTTCTTAGCCCTTCTTGCAGCAATTCAAGGACTTTTTCGCTGGTATTTTTTTTGGATAGTTTTGCATTGTCTGCAAATAAATACAATTTTGATTTGAATGTATTTGGCATTGAATTTATGGATATTACAAACAAAACAGGTCCCAGTACAAATACCTGGGGAATCCCACTCAATGCACCTCTCCATTCAAATCTACTGTCGTTTATCACCACTCTTTGTCGTCTTATTAATAAAAACTCGTTGATCCAGCCAGTGTTTTGCATTTTATTCCATTTTGTTTCAGGAATCCTATAAGTCTTTTGTGCGGTACCGAGTGAAAACGCTTTCTTGAAACCCAAGTAGACAAATGCCGTTTCTCGGCGACTATCCATTCATTGTTTTTGTGAAATCATCCATTAATCTCAGTAGTTGTAATTGTGATGATCTACCGGCAGGAAACCAAACTGTTCATTCACACGGATTTATTTTTTTTCTAATTAAGCTGGGCTTTAATTATTTTCTCAAATATTTTACAAACCCCTGATTTTAAGCTTACTGGACGATAGTTGTCAGCTAACAACTTTACCTTTTTTGAAGATAGAGGTAATGTGAGCAAGTTTCCGGTCTTCACGTAGCTTTGTTTCGTCCCATGTTTTGTAAAACAAAAACTTTGTCAGAATTTGAGTCAGGAAATCTCTCAATTCAAATAGAATTTATGGGTGAATTTTGTCGAGCTCTGGAGATTTCGATGTATTGAGTGAGTTTAGTTGCTCTTTCACCAATTGCTCTGTTATTTTTAAGTCCTTTTTTGGATGGTTGATATCCAATTCTGGAATCGTAGAAACTCCTGGTGGTTCGGTGTGAAGACTGATGAAAAGAACTTTGACAAAAAATTCTTTTTTGATCTCATTGGTCGTTGAAGATACATCATCCTGCACTAAAGCTGACACTGCATTTTGTAACACCGTTTTCTGTCTCCAGATTTTTTTTTCGTTTTTAGATTTTTATCTATTTCACCTTTCTTTGCCCTTTGAACATTTCGTTTAGCTGTCTTTACAGCATTTCTTTTTTTGTTTATGGTTGTCAAACATTACTGTTGTCTTTTGCGGCAATTTTTTTCCAGTACATCTTTTTTGTTGTGTTTGCCTGTCGAGTGGTATTGGTGGATAGTAAGTTGTTTCTACACTCTCTTTTGAGCTTAGTTAGGAGAAATAATTTTTTTTGTTAGTTCAATCAGGAGTTTGCGCAAATCCGTCCAAATTTTTTCAACATTGTCTTCACTGTGAAAAAAGGAAAACTTTCTACGTCATCTCTCATTCGGTCATAATCTCCGTAAGCGAAGTTGTATCTCATCATGGTCTTACTAATTGTGGGGTACGCGGGTCTCCACTTCTAAGATAACGTGGTCGCTCTGTCCCATAGGTCGTTGGTTATTAGTGCTTAGGTCGCTTAGACCGGCATCAGTTAAAACCATATCTAGTAGTGATGGTTTATCTCCGGCAGTAATGCGTGTACCTCAGTGCCCAATCTTCCAAAAACTTCCATTTCAATCGGCCGAAGCTCTGCGGTGATGAAATAGCCTCGTATTTGGTGCTTTTTTTGTGACTCGGAAGCATCTGCCACAGTAGGTCCTCTCTCGACCAGCGAATTGGGTGTACGAGGATGCCAGTCGTTGAACACAGGTATATTCCCAGCCCAGTACTCTTCCATGTGTCCATGGAACCAGTGTAAGCCTATCTGTTCTCTTACGGTCTTTGAAGCTCGAGGGTCGATGGGAAGTTTGCTTGTATAAAAGCCCTATGGCTGGTATGATTCCCATCGAATGTCTGGTATAAACAGACCTGCTCTCTTCCAAACTGAAAATGGATACCATAGACATCGACTATATTGCCCGAAAAGCACTTGTGTTGGGTACAAACCGGTGCGCCGAGACAAAAACCTACGCCAATGCTAGGGCCTTGAGCCAATCAGCGGCTCCGAGAGGCATCAAGCCTTTCGAGCGGGAGGCTTGTTGAAGCAGCATTGACAATGGCAATTTGTTCTGTTTGATTTTGCACTCTGGTAAGGGTATATCACTATTTATAGTACACTGTCAGTTTTGTATAACAGATTCAATAGAAATTCTATTGTCAATTCACTGTTATTGCAAATCTATTGCATTGAATTCTATGTTATTGCATATCTAGGATGCTGAATATGGAAGATGCATTTGCGCAAATAGCAAGTTTCGGGAAGAATTTTGGGAATTTTCAAGTTGGATAAAAGTCAATAAATGCAAGTAAACGGAAAAAATTGCTTTCGAAATTGGAAACTCACAGAAAATAGATGGCCATAAAGCTCTTTGGAA